GCTATGGTTACTCACGATTCCCAATTATTTACAATTTCGTTCGGTCATATCAGAAATGCTGTGTCGTCTTGTTGGGCTTCGAGATGTCTTTGGTCCATGATTGGAAATGATCGAACTACTCTGTGAAGATCGGTTCCCTCCGAAATCGACCGCGGCCACTGACATACAGTACATGAAAACCCTGACGTCTGATTCAGCAAGGAGACGGATTGAATGTAACCTGATTTTCAAGGTAGACCAAGCACCACAATACAAATTAATACAACTGTTGTTACCGTAGTGGTGGAATACAACCTGCCAGCATACAGCGATCTGTCGAGTCAGAAATAAGGAAAATAAATAAGAAGATAAATGTGACATGAGAAATCGTATTGGCAGAGAATGTGCGAGGGTTTGAAATGTGGGAGGTTGTCAGGATTGACCATCAAACATGGTGGTGTAAAGATAACCTCAGTACACCAATGTCTGTAGGGTAGAACATGTTGTTAAGTAGCGACTCCTCATAGTCTAGTGGGACGTCGCGAACCACTGGTATTTGTTATATCTTGAATGTTGATTTCTTGATATACCTCGTATAACAGAACACTAGAACACCAAAACCCTTCCAACTCGCAATAAGTTATTATTCCAATATTATTCCGAAAAGAGTCAACCATAATACAAAATTGTCAGGTATTTATAGTTTTTAGTAAGAACGAAATCATCATTACAGTCCTCCAGTCCGCATACAGGGGGCTATTACCATTATCCAATCGAGAAGCTACGTGTAGGAAATCCAGAATATTCTTCCGAAAGTTGATTGAATGGATCATCTCTGGCTCCTCCTGAGCCACTTACAGCTTCCTCGAGAACGCCCGTGGTCCGTCGTCACAGTATTCATGCTAATTCCTTGTGCCAAATACCTTTTTGACTCATGTCTGTAATCTTCAGTTGGTCCTACTTGCTACCGAGTAGTTCTGTCTCAGGTCAAACTGGACAATTACTCTAAATAGGAGCTCACTCATGACTCTACGAGTCCGATGACGATAAGATTGAGTTATGATCATTTTGACGTAGAACGCTGGTTTTTATTCGAAATCTTATAAAGCATGCCGACTCTTGCACTGAACATGAGAGTTTACTAACATTGATTTTCCAATGTATGAAAATCGATTCCATGTTTCTACAACCAATGTGACTTGAAGCATACTAACCTAATTGGGTAACTCATTTAACTGAAGCCTGTTGCATTTTTGGCATTTTGATTTTGCCTGTAAACTGCTATGCCTCATGTAACATACTGCTGTCTGAGAATATACATAATTAATAATGAATGTTGATTATGCTTTTGACCTGCTGATGAACCTTCTATTTTCCAAATTCATCTACAGGCCGCGAAACACGGTTGTTCTCATTCTGGCCAATATACTCATTCAAATTGCGCTGGCGATTTTTAATTACGGTGACGTTGTTTTTACCTGTTTACTGTCTTCTTTTGAGTTTACTTTTGTGTCAATACATGTAACATGCAATCGATTTCATTAGAGCTAGTTAGTTATGGGTGGCATGAACTGAACACTTCTGTACTATATTGCTCGCATGACCGTTTCACTCACTATTCTCAACAAGAGGATCTTTTGAAGGTTCGGTATTCTAACTGAAGAAGTTCAACTGAGTATCCATCCCAGACGGGAAATAACAGCAACAGCATTATTGCCGTGCATTGGGTCCCATCGATCACTTCCTAGTCCCAATTTCGATTACTCATTGTTATAACACATGAATAAACATAAATTGGAATTATAATCTTCAACATTACATAGTGTGCCTTCTTCATAAGTTGGTGTGAAAATAAGAAAGTCAGACCATCCAGTTCAGAATATACAAATATGTTCTCTCCAGAATGATATATCCGTGCAATATCATTTAGTGTTTATGATGAAATCCAACCCGCAACATTGTTCATTGAGGCTTTGCTAGGTTAAGAGCGGTTACCAGTTCACTTAGTATGCGGACGGAAGAAAGGTTTGTGACCGAAGACCAATAAGCTAGCTATCTTGATGCGTCCCAGACCCACTAACTAGAGTGAGATGTCGGGGCTTGGAACAGGAATGTATATCCCGTAAGCCAGAAGCACGATTGAATAATAACAGACACAAATCAAACGTATATATACAGCATAAAACTGTCCTTGGGAGGCGTTGCAAAAATAGCCTACTTAAGTACACAACGGACCAATAGCGTTAAAGATTCTGCCAAGTAGGAAATACGGCATGAAGGTGAAAAGAGCGCTTTTGGCGCGAAAACAAGTAAATTCAAGTTTCCAAAATCAAATTACAAAATTAATGCATTTACCAAGTGAGTTCTGGGGACCTAACATCCCCAACATAAAATAGAGAAGAACTTGGTCACACTAAATTATATGTATGAAAAATGCATCATATGTGACAGATACTTTATCATCTCATAGAAGTAGTTAAAGCCGCATGACAACATAAAATCACATGGTGTTAATATAGTGTTTCTCAGGATAGGCGATCACAGACGTAGATAGAAAATTTGAGATGTGTTTGGTAGGAAGACAGAATTCTGACATTCGTATTTCCACAGAAGACAAGGACAACGAGGTTGCACCGAATAAGCTGTGTGACATCGCACAGTAAGTCGAAACATCCCTCCACTTCTAATTCATGGAAATTCAAGGTTACCTACTGATAAATACAGTGCACTCCACAGTGAATAGAAGTCACGCATCCATGTAAAATCAATTATTATGCACTCATTAGACAAATCAATATACTGTTTAAAAGTAATTTGCCGCCTTGAAATAATTTGGAGCTGGATATTATTGTTTCGCAACGAAATGTCAATGATTAATCTAAATACATTGCTAATTATTACGGAATACAATGGTTTCCACCAGATTCACATGATGAATTGACTGGTTTTTAATCATTTTCTGTCACATGAAACACTCAATCACTAATGTCATTTGACAATTTCAAGTGTTTATTGGCCGATCACTGATGTCACGACCCGACCTATTCTAGTCGAGATTACTAAAGGTCATTCTTGTTGAATGATTTTCAGCTTGAGTGGACTATGGTGTCAGTTTGATTCCACGGATCACTTTACTTCACTTATGTGGACACTGGAAATAAACATTTGACACAACTACAACCAACGTTGAAACAAATCAATGGAGAGCAACATCAAAGCTACTGAAGTTGAGGGATAGAAAATTACAATGTCTTCGATTATATGCTGGATCAAATCGACGTGGTTATTGTAATCGTTTTGTATATTATGAATTTTGATTTCTTCTCTTTATACACACTCGACTTTGATTCAACTTTACTCAGTGTGAAGCAAACGGCCACATTAGCGGTTCACTTATGAATAGTTTCACCTTCTGATCATATTCGAGAACTTTGTTGCTACTGAATATCATTTAGAACTGTGATGAGCACACCTGTATTGAGCGTGGTGCAGTCGCGAGTATCCCTTTTAGTTATATATACTGCACACATTAGAGATATATTTATTGTCTAATATAAATATATGTGAAGTTTCGCACGGTCACACTTATGCGCTACATGCGTACATAGAATTCATAAAGGGTGGCTTGACAATCTCTTTGCGCTGGTAAAGATTCGACTGAAATCAACAACGTAACAGTGAACAATAAATGGACTACTAGCATTCAAATTATTAGAGTCGCGATTCGTCATTTGAAGATATTCTCTTTCACTATCATGCCCTAAAATGTTTAGTGTCAACCATTATGCACTGCTTACAGCAAAGTTTGTGGTCATTCACCGTGGTTTGCTCTTGACTTTGTGAACTATCGTAGATATCATACTGTCACGGACAAAGAGGAAAGTCTTTTTTCTAGTTCTGTGATTTATTTTTACGCCAACAAAACATCCGTTTCTGTTAATCCATATTCAAGACAGAGTGAATATTTGCCCGATCTCTATCAATCTACTCACTTTAGTTCATGAAAGAGGGTTTTAATATTTCCGAGTACTTCTCAGAGGGGTGAGCCAAACTTTACTCCAGATCTGTTTTTCACAGGATGGTCATTGCTGTAAATTTCTTATTTCTGTTGCGTAATTATAAGTTGATGTCATACCATTTTTAGGTTGGAAACGTCATTTCAGAGATTATTATGTACTACTTAGCTTCAGTCAGAAAAACTTAATGGCAATTTTGTTTTCACTACTTTGTTTGGAAATATCTCGACTGCAAGTGGACGTTTATCTGTAATGTCGAGATATAACAACCATTTAAGTCACTTCTTGTTTTGTTACATACTGTCACTACCAGCATGCAGTGTAAGAAACAGCTACTAGTCTTTTAAACATACGACAGTAGTTTCAATGCCAGAATGTGCTGGTTGTGCTGACCTGCAAAGAAGCAGTCTGAATAATATGTAGTCCTGCTTATCAGTGCTTTTTTAGTATGGTTTAAGCAAATATTTTAGTATGTACATATTCCAGCAATTCACGATTCATTTGTTCAAGTTGTAACCTTCATATCTACAAAAGCACAAAACAACGGAAATGCCAATAACCAATAATCGTATTCGGCAGAGAACAGGGAGAATATATTTTTCTTGCACTAATATAAATAAATTTTCAGGTGGCTCAGCCTATATGTCTAACACTGCCTTCGACGAGTTGAGTTGGTGTTTTTGAATGTAAAATACGCACGAAACTAATTTATATCACGTACACCGAATTGAACTATGTAATACACAAGCTTTTAGCTCAAGAGGGTGATTTGGTTTGAATCTGTTAGACTTAGCAGTTCAAAAAAACGCTATCAAGTATGGTCTGTGTAAGTTGATGGACAACTATCTAGTTATAAAATCACAATTTCACATTGAAATTAACGCTTCTTTGGAAGCGGGAGTGATCTAAAACAACAACACAACAGTCAGAACCGATGAATACCTCTGAAGTATGAACGTGAAGCTCTAACACAACAAATATATTTTTGAGAATTGAAAGACGTGGTTTGATTTCGAAAAATGAAAATTTATTACAAAATAGTTTTGTCCATCATTCTTCAGGTTCACCTCACATAGGGAGTTTTCCTCTTTTTCCTGTACATTTACTCTTTGCTTCCCTGCAATAAGAAAAAACAAATTTGCATTACTAACGTCAAATGTAATGATTTTTTATACTGTTACAAGAGAATAACCGACTCCACATAAACTATCAATGAATCATTAGTCAGGAAAGGTCATGTTTAGCAGGGAAATGTAAATAACAAGAGATCCAACAATTCCCTGTTAATAGGTAGATACAAATCAATATATCTACGCTTCAGATTTTATACCAACCTGTATACACATCCAGAAGAGAACAAACAACGATATTTATACTGCGTACAGCAGGAATAGTCGTTGTATCATCTTTTGATTCACTTACCAGAAGTACTATTTTTGAAAACCTTATGAAATACATGGTAAAAAACCTCTGTAATTGTGTGTGTGGATTTGAAAAATCAGTATGCCTTATTTGAGTTCTGTTTACTAGAAAGCCAGTCATAAGTCATGAGCCAAATTGATGAACTTTCGTAACTTTCCAGTTTCATTTTAACTAAAACGATTTGCTTCTACAGTTTGGAAGAATAGATTGTAAGCAAACTTATGACAAGTTATTAATCGTTTGCTTCCCTTTGTCTTTGGAAATACATCATTCAGCAAGACATTTTAAAAATCAAATTAGAAGAGGACTGACCTAAGCTTATAGTTTTTATCGTCACACTGAATGATAAATTGGAGTGTTGGATGCTCACTGCTGAGTGGTACCATAATAGAACGAAGCGCCTTTCTAGTGTTGTTGGTTTACGGTTTTTGATTGATTATGATCATTCCGTGATGTTGACTATGCCAGTGAAAATCTTCCATCAACCGCAATGGCAGATAAATCACTTATTCTTGATTTGATCATTTTATTATCTACGTGGACTGATTTCTGACGTCTAATGAGAAGTAAACATTTCGTGTGAGTTGTTTAAATAAAATTGGACCAGGTAAATATATATTTTCCACAAATATCACCATCAAAGTCAGTAAAATTGCAAAATATATTTTGGTTATTTCATATTGTAGTGTTTGTTAGAAAATTTTTATTACAGTGAAAGTTTTTTATAATAAATATTCTAAGTTGAATCCATTTCAGTTGTCATACCTTAATTTTGTGGACCAAGAAAATTCGTCGATCCAAATGGATCTTGAACCGGTTGCGGTCCGAATGGAGGAATGCCATGTGGAAATTGATTATTCGGCAACCATGTTCTTCGTGGCCTATGACAGTAATAGTTCGTGTCGTATTGGTTTGGTCTTGTGCATTTCAGTACTGACCCAACTGACGTCATTCCGTATTGCCTTAAATGATTATTACATTCACCGGGTGGAATTATAATATATTGACCGTGTAATTCGTGTTGCCTATGTAATAAAATAAAGTTTTGAAAATTTCGGCTGGACAAAATATCAATTTTAATAATGATTGAATGTTTTGAAAATGAATTAACTGTAACTATTTCATTTGTATCGAGTCACTGAATGTTTCTATCAAATAATGGCAGATTCAAACCAATCAGTTGAAATGACTTATCCAAAGACCTCGTATGTACACTGATGATACTGATAATTTTGAATCGGCAACTCACCTAATCACAACCAGATATACGATTGTTTTTGGTGGAGACATTCCTATCAAGACATATAGACTCTTGTAAATCTTTATTATATCAATCTATTCAATACATCACGTCTTGTAATATAATCCACTCAAGATTGTGGCGCAAAATTATTCTGTCAAGTTATGTTGGTCAAAGTCTGTAATTTATTTATTTCCTCTAACTAATTAAAAGTTTGCTGTGTATCATGACTCAGCCAGCAGACATTCAAAGAGATTTTTTTTGACTACGAACACATACTCAGTATTATGAACGAATTCGAAATGGGGTTGTTTTCACAATTTTTTCCTTCTATAATTTGTATAAATGTTTCATTATCCTGAGAGCAAACATCTTGAGAACTAGATGTAATAGGTACTCTATGAAAGTGAAGTTTTCATTGTTCGGATATGAATGAAATGTCTCAGGATTTTAGCCCGCTTAACGCTTGTATAGATGTAAGCGGATCTATTATGTACATGCAACTTCATGACGCTGACTGATTGTGACTAGAATACAATGCTTCACTGATTGCAGTTAACTGTTGATTCGATTTCAGTTTTCAAAATAACTGTCTTACAAACAACAGTCACTATCACTCAGAACGTATGACATGATTAGTACAGTGTTTCATATTATTTAAAACTCGTCAGCTGGATGTATCTGCATCCTACAGTTGATGTTCACTGATCGATTGTAATCCTAAGCAGCAAGCGAACAATATCAAGTGAACTGGTGTATTTCAATTGTGATAAAATCCTCTTTGAATTGTTCCATATTGATTGTATTTCGTACAAATTACTACAAGGTATCCAGTTTAACTTCATGAATACACTATTTAATATGTGAAAAGGTATCGGCTTAGTTTCTTGTTCTTGTCAATGAAATACATCTAGAGCTCATTGTGATAATCTTATGTAGTAAGTCTAAATATAATTAATAATGCTAGATACTTGAATATTAGGAAAGACATTTCAGTAGAGTAAAATTTTGCGAAAATCATAAATAAGGATGGGAATTAATTTTGCTCATCGTGGTATCACGCAGGAAGTGACCGAATAATCTACCATTTCAAAATGTGTAACATTCATTCCACATGAAACATATAAGTGAGTAATATTTTAGGAACTTACGAATACACGATCCAGTATCTCGTTGTCAAATAACTTCGATGTGAACAAATCATATTTGTATAATACATAAAATATGGGTCAATATAACTATTACTGTCGCAAAAATCAACCCAATAATGTCGTCCAAAAAGTGAAGCAAACAACCGTAAACAGTCTGATGATTGCAGGGTCGCCTGCAACAGAGTGGATTGTGATTCAGTCGAATTGATGTGAGACTCAGTAGTATTTACCACTGTCTCAAGTGACCATTCTGTGAAGCATGTAAGTACAACAAACAGGATGATGAAACTAGCTGACATTATTCTTCGTAAACCAATGGAATAAACTTGTGTAGTTCCATTTATACTCTTTCCAAGCATATGATTTGGGTCACGTTTAGCACACTGATCCCGTGATAATTCTAAATGTCATATTGTGAGAGTCATTTATAAATTCTTCAACACGTATTTGTATTAGGTTATTCTAATGATTTCTTATCATTGACCATATATACTAGTTGTAACTAGGTCACACATAATAATCATGATGTTGGTTTAACAATTGTTAACATCTATAAATACACGTGTTTTTCTGTACAAAAATGGACCTTTGCAGTAAAATGCTTTTCGCTTATTTTGCGCCTTTTCTCTCAGGTTCAGGTCACTGCGTAGTTCTAGCTTAGGGTTACGAGAATAGTTTAGGAACCGAATATTGCGTTCAATTAGCAGGACATATCAGTGGCGACGGGAAAACCGCAATGAATATTTTTTTAGAGCAGTTAGAAGCTCATACGCAGCGTCAAGATAAGAGATTTTAACAGTCCAAAATCAGAATCATGGAAGCCTTGATGCAAAAATTGTGCTTGTCCCAACAAAACCCTGCTTTTGGGGATTCACAAGTATCTCATATGGATTCAATCATTAATGCCATTCATTAATTTAATTTTGACGGTGCAGCAGGTGTAACGTTTTATTCTTGGATTAAGAAATATGAAGATTTGATCTATTTTGATCTCTGCAGAGTTGATAACGCCTCAATAGTCAGAACACTTCCAAGAAAACTTGTGACGATGGAACATGAACGCCAAAGTAATTTCGTTCTCTCGAAGAACACACGAGACTTTAGTTTTGATGAAACAGTTAAAAATCTGCCCCAAACCTTTAGATAACAGTCATGTCTAATTAATATTCGTTACCTATGCTTGAAGATAACGAAAGAACCAGGAGATGGCCGTGTGAAATATGCAGGAATCGTAAACAGAGAGTATGAGAAGTTCAAGTTGTCTTCCATGACAGAAGACCAGTTTGAATACCTAGTATTTGTCTGTAGCCTGCGTTCACCCGAAGATTCTGACGTCCGAACAAGAATTCAAACAAACTCGAACACTGCTCCAACATGACCCTGCAGGAAGTAACCGCCGAATGCCAAAGGTTAGTGAACTTGAAGCATGATACCTCGATGGTAGAGAACGATAACCGTTTCCCTTACGTCAATGCAGTCGAGAGAAGTCTCGCAAGGTTCCAGCACACAGAATTATCGTAATGACAGCGAAAAACCATCATCCCCGTCCTGGTCGTGTGGAGGCCTCCATGTTTGATATAATGCATAATGCATTTTTAATATTACTTTGTGATCAGTATTTTTACTGATACACCTTTTTACTTGTCAGTAACAATGTTGTTTCTTGTCCATCTTGCTTTCAGCTGGCTTCGCAAGTTTTAACAGACGTGACTGTAAGTTCTTTATTCTCATCAGTACCAACATTGGTATGCCGTTGGTACGTCATCAACGTTTTTCATATCTTGTCATTTGCTTATAAACTGAAAAACACTTCTTTTAGGCGAGACTCTAATTTATGGACGAGCCAATCAGAAGCGTTTAAGGAATTTTAAGGTCACGGAGCTAAGTTCAATACCTGATGCTCACATACGATCGGTTTACAGCGCATTTTAGAGAAGAGGTGATTATTGAGCCGCTATAAAAAGTGAGACTACCAAGACGTTCCTGTAGTTGTGACTGAGGTAATCAAATGACTGCAGCACAGTGTTCAGACTATCGTAATGTGATTGTATTTCGGTGTTCTTCATGTTTGAGAAAAAAGTGGACTTTCTTCACTCGATCCTGATTGAGACTATCACAAATCATGATAATTATTGCGAATTAGATTATAAAGGCACCAGTAACATTGGCTGCGGCGTTCACAGATGTTACTGAAACTTCAGTCGTCCAGTGGTACGAGTATTGCCCTGACATATGTGCACTTAAAATGACAGGTCTACACGAATCGTTCGGAGGAGTGGGGAGTATTGTGGAAATAGATGAAACAGTAGTGCGAAAGCGAAAATACAACAGGGGACGCAGTATCAAGGAAGATTGGGTAAGTAGCACTTCTAGAGGGTGAAAAACCCTCAGGCAAACACAATAATGCCAATTATAAAGGAATACGTGCAGCCTGGCATTACGGTATATACAGATGGTTGGAGAGCGTATAGATGCCTTCATAGACTTGGGTATGTCCAAGATGTCGTAATGCATAGACGCCATTTTGTCTAACCTACTACCGACGTTCATACTAACATCATTGAAGCCACGTGGTCGAGATTGAAGTAATTTTTAAGACCGTACCGCAGCTCCAGAGGTTGATTATATTGAGCCAAATGAAGGAGTTCCTATATCGTATGTGTTATGATTTCAGAACATCTGAACCTTTGTCAAACCGTAACAAGTTTTTAAATCACGTAAAAGAAGAATATTCTTTGTAATTCATTAGTTTCTTTTAATATATTTTTACATTATGCTAACTGTCTTCTGATTGGCTAATAATTGTCAAGTTCACTTAAGATTCGTTCAAGGTTCGTTCATAAATTAGAGTCTCACCGAAAAACCTTGTATAAATCAGTGATTTGTAATTTTATTAGCCGTAATAAACATTTCTGTGTCAGGAATCAGTCTTTTAACTACAGAGATAGATCGGTTAGCTTTCAGTTTCTTTGGCACTGCATAATTCACAAAAAATAATGTAACCTCGCAGTAAAAACTGTATGTATGTATTCTCGACTGGTTTTTCCGTGATTTTTGGAGACGTATTGCGTTAAAACGAGCTCGTAAAGTTTTATAAGTTTATGGTAAAATTTTGGGGAGAGGAGCGAAATTCAGGGTAAATGTTGAGAAAAACCCCAAAGTCAGGGGAAATTTCGGGGAAAAGCGCAAAATTCAGGGGATATTTTGGAGAAATTTTAAGGAATTACCCTAGGTCTGAAGAAACTTAAGGGGTTTTATGTTATTTTTCCAAAGTCTGCTATGACGGCTTCCCCAAAATTGGGAGATTGGTGGTTGGGAACTATAAGAGGTTCTGTCCGTATAAGGAACAGTGTTGCAGTAAATGTCATCAAAAGGGCCATATAGAAAACAACTGCAGAAAAAGAAGCCATAAACGATATTTTGCAAAACCCTGCTTCACATAATACAGATCTTATAGAGACACTTAAACTAGCAGACCATTCCACTAACAGCATCCGTAGACGAATCAGAACTGACAACATCTTAGAGTGGAGCTAGAAAAATGCCGTGCTACAAAGAGACCACGACGTGTTTAAAGAAGGATTGGGGGAACGTACGTAGTCCAAAGCATCGTTAACCCTGAAACCTGCAGCTTCTTCCGTCTTTCAACCTGAAAGGCCTGTACCTTATGCTGCTCTTCCAATAGTTGAACAAGAATTACGACTTGAGGAAATGGGTGTTATCGAACCTGTGAACTTCTCCAACTATGCTGCACCACTGGTGGTGATCAAGAAGTCGAATGTGTGCAGACTACTCTACCAGATTGAATGAAGCTCTAGAGCCTCACCATTACCCGTTACCCTTATCAGATCTTTTCGCTAAGCTGAACGATGGCAGATTTTTTGTGAAATTGGACTTGTCAGACGCGTATCTACAAATCCCGGTATCTGATGAAAGCAAAGATCTTCTGACGATCAACATACACAAAGGTCTGTTCCAGTATAACCGACTATCTTTTGGAGTGAAGACGGCGCCTTCTATTTTCCAGCAAATTATGGATACCGTGTTACAAGGTATTCAGGGGCAGCAGCTTATTTAGACGACATCATAATTATGGCAGCAGACAAAATGTACCTGCAGAAGGAACTGGACCAGGTATTAGGACGCATAGTGGATTATGGTTTCCGTCTCCAAGCGGAAATGTGTGACTTCTATATGCAGCAAGTACGGTGCCTTGGGTTCATAATAGATAAAGACGGAAGACGACCAGATCCAGAGAACATTGAAGCTGTGAGAACAATGCCTAGACCCAGGGGCATTACTACCTCACGATCGTTCTTGGGATTGGTCAGCCATTATGGTACCTCCCTTCCCGATCTCCATCGTCTACGTGCTCCACTAAAGTACCTACTAGAAAAGAATTGGTCTGCGGACTGCCAAGCATCTTTCGACAAAATCAAACAACTCCTAGCTTCCAATCTCTTGTTGACACATTACGATCCTTCGCTACCGATATTCGTTGCTTCAGATGCTTCTAACTATGGTGTGGGCGCAACCATCTCTCAGACATTTCCTATTTGGTCTGAAAAAGCTATCTCCCACGCTGCCATATCTTTGACAACGACCAAAAGGAACTATAGTCAAATTGAGAAAGAAGCCCTATCAATTATCATTGCAGTGAAAAAGTTCCACAAGATGATATATGGTCGACATTTTACCTTAATAACAGATCATAAGATACTACTTGCAGTTTTTGGGTCAAAGAAAAGAATTCCTGTTCATACAGCCAACCAACTCCAACGATGGGCAGCCACACTTCCGGGTTACGAATTCATGACCAAGTATTAGTTTACTACCGCCTTCAGGCTAGCTGACGCATTGTCAAGAATAATAGGCTCCCAATCAAAAACCCCAGGAGAGACTCTTGTAGCAAATGTAAAAGCCAAGGGAGAAGTTCATCGCGTATTGGATGACTCAATCAATGGACTCCCAGTAACCATTGAAAGTATCAAGAAGATCACTGAAAGTGATATGATACTGAGCACAGTTAAATGCCATCTCTCGACCAAATGGCCAAACAATCGCCTTGACGGAGAACGTTTTCAATAGTTTCGTCGACGGAAATCACTAATGGTTGTTGACTCGTGTATTATGTTCGGTGATCGAATTGTTATTACGTCACATGTTTCTCAAGCAGTTTCGCAGTGACCATCCTGAAATCAATAAAATGAAATCGTTGGCTCGTAGTTATGCTTATTGGCCGTCAATGGACAAAAATATCAAGAATAACTGACGTAACTGTCCGTCATGTATTCAAGCTGCTAAAAATCTTTTGAAATGTAAACCTCAGCATTGGCCAACGCCTGCAGGACCCTATGTAAGACTTCACA